GAAAGTGCACTTTGAATCTATTATGCGCGGAATCATGGTAAAGAGTTCAGACTTTTAATCCAGAGAGACCTGAATTTGAATTCCAACTCCTCTCCTCAGACACACCCATACACATATCCACACATTGTCTGTTCGTTGAGTCACTTATCTTCTCTGAACCTTGGTTTTCCCATGAGTAAAATTAGGAAACTAATATACATTAAGTGTTTATGGATAGAAACTATAATTCATAATACTGTACTACATACATAAGAACTTGCTAAAAGGGTAGATCTTACATTAAGTATTCTTATTGCATCACAAAATAATAAATAAAGAGGGTGAGAGGAGACTTTGGAGGTGATGGATAGATTAGCATAGATTGTGGTGATGTTTTCATGAGGTATACTTATCTCCAAACTCATAAAATTGTATACATTAAATACAGACAGCTTTATGTATGTCAGCCATACTTCAATAAAGTGGTTTAAAAAATACATTGTTTAGTACCATGCAGTATATTTAGTACCAGTTTACTACTAGTAAGTATGTAATGAATAGAAGAAACTAATTATTATTGTTATTATTTTTTCTTCTTAGTAAGAAGGTTGTATTTTTAGCTTACTCATACAGGAAAAAAATTGAAAATTAGTTTTAGACATATACCTACTTTGGAAAATGATTCTGTAGCCAAATCATTCCAACTAGGAATCTAATCCCATTTCCCCCCATCCCTTAGGATTATACATAACAAATTAGAAAAGTGTGACTATTTATGTCTACCTGTGACATGCATTTACTGTTTAATGCTCAGGATGTAGCAGGTGGTCTGATCTAGGACTTCCTGCCTCAGTTAACAAGACTATGACTAGAGAAACTCTTTGTATGACATAGAGATGACTCTTCTATGGGTCTAACATGCCAAAATTTTTCTGACCCAAACAGCTGTTTTTATGTGTTTTCTAAAATTGCTTTCTGGAAGCAGTCTGGCTTGTAGATATCTCTACCCACATTTCATAAATACCTTTGCACTTGTGACTTAACCTCTAAGTACATTCGAAGGTATATATTAGCTGACAAACAGAGTTCTTTCTATTATATATTCAAGTTTAAGAACTAATTCTTCTTAGTAATATATTTCCTCCAGCTAAAAGAGACTGAATGGATTGGAAGTTGCCCACACATTTTTTTCTTGGAAAATTGTATTTGTCTATTTGTCGCTCCACCCACTGTACATTCACATTTGAGAGGTGCTAAATAAGTCACACATTTGAAAATGTCATGCATGTCTAATTTTGTGCATGGCAACATATAGATATTTTTTTTATTTTAAGGAAAATAAACAATATGCTGCATTCAAAAATTTTGCCAAGCCTTATGTTATTGTCATACAGTACACATAATCCTTCATTACAGCAATTTACCTATAAAATTTAATAATAAAACCACATGCTTTTCATTTCTATAGTATGTAGGAAGGCTAGATGCAAATAATGGTATTTGATCTTTCATAAATATAATTAATGCCAGAGGAAAAATTCTGAGTTATATCACTTTTTTGCCATGAAATTACCAAAATTATAAGAAAGAGAATTGGAATATATATATTTAAGAATCTCAAAAATGATAGTGTAACTATTACTGAGAGATCTAAGTAGAAAACAACTTTAAATCAAGATCATGATCAAAAACAGTGAACCATTTACAAAGATAAGCTTATTTTAGAGACTCTTAAATGCTCCAAAACATAAACTGTTGACTTGTCAGTGATTAAGTTGCATCAGATAAATTTAACTTCATCTCAATCCTGCCTATAAGGTAGTATTTATTTTCTATCAATATTAAGTGCTTTCTATGTTCTGATGGTTTGTTCCCTTGTTAGTTTTTTAAGTGACACTTTCATATTAAAATCTAAGACAATGTTTGAAATATATCATTCTACTACTTTCTTTCATTTATTCAAGAACTATTGGAATACAAACCACAAGTATTGCTTCTCTCAATATTTCCCACCTCCAATGTGAGCCTCACCTGGGAAATGGGAGCGTCACCACTCAGGTAGTCGGTCAAATAACCCAGGAGTCGTCCTTAACATTTTTCTTTCCTTTTCCCAGAGAATATGCAAGTACTGTCAGTTCCACCTGCAAACGAATCCCAATCCTTCGCTTCTTTCCACCTCTTCCCCTACCACCCCCTTACTCTGGGCCACCATCATCTTTCTCTCCAGGCTAACATAGCCTCCGGAAGAGTCCTCTTGCTCCCACACTTCATCTCATGCTCCGCCTCCAACTTTGAACCAGCAAGGAATGTAATCTTTTAAATACACATCAAAGCTCTGCTTAAAGTACTCAGCTTCCACTCTTCTTGAATCCAAAGAGGCTCAGCTTATCCCCACCTCAGCTGTTCCCATGTATCCTCTGCCTGGGAGGCCCTTTCCCCACATTTGCATGTCTCAGATGTCTCAGATTGCTGCGCTCTACTCACTATTACGATATCTCTTCATGGCACTGGATACTATTTAATTTTTTTGAATAAAAATAATAAACTTACATTTTTAAGGGCTGTTTTGGATTTACAGAAAAATTGTGCAGAGAGTATAGAGTTCTCTATTAGCTTTCTCCTCTACCTTCCTAGACAATTTCCCCTATTATTAACATCTTGCATTAGGGTGGTACATTTGTTATAATTGTTGAGCCAATATTGATAGAATTAACTAAAGTCTGTAGTCTAGATTAAGGTCACTCTTCGGATTGTACATTCTATGGGTTTTGACAGTCCATCATGTCATAGATTCACCAATATAGTCTCATACAGAATAGCTTTACTGACCTGAAAGCTTACTTCACTTATTCATCTCGCCCCATCCAACCTCTGGCAAACCACTCATCTTTTTTATTGTCTCTACAAGCTTGTCTTTTCTGGAATGTCATACACTTGGAATTGTACAATATGTTCACCATTTGAGTTTTTAAAATAGTAACTTAATTATTATCCATGTCCCCTTCTGGAGTGTAGGCCTCATGGGAACAGAGGTCTTATCTGTCTTGTTCTCCTCTTGGCCCAAAGCACCAACAACAGACCCATAGTGGATCTTCTGCAGGAATTTGTGGATTGAATGAATGGGTGAATTTACCTACCAGCCCAGTGGAGAGCAACTTTTGAAATATTCCTTTCTCGATTTGTTCTAGTAACTCTGAAGCAAATTTCCCCAGGTTTCTAACTTTTACACTGGTGCTTTGAAGATTTCAGGGAAAGAAAAGTTATTCCCTGGCTGCAAGTGGTTGAATGTATGGCTACTACAGGTCCTTTTGCCACCTGAGACCCATATCTCACGCAGGAATTTATCCAGTCATACTGGATACATGGGTGCTCCCTGAGTTAGAGATGCAAAATCTGGAGCATCTCTTACATGTTAGTAGCAAGCTCTGCTCTGCCTCCCTCTCGCCTTTTATCCTCACCTTTGCTCTTCTACATCGTATCCACTCACCCCGGAACAATTTCCATTTTTATCACTCTTTACCCCTTTCTACCTTCTGATCCTCCCATTCTTTTTCACCTGTAAAGCATAAAAACACCCTAAATGTGACTGACAAGAGCATAGCACTCGAGATTTGCTGTGGGAAGGACATGAAGAACCAGATATTTTAAAACTCAATTAACTGTAATAAGGAACCACACCCTCCAAAACACTAAAAAATGCCCAGAGGTCTCTGCCACAATTTCCATAACCTTCAACTTTCTCTCATTAATTTTTTTTCCTTAACCTCACCATTTAATATATAAAAATAATTTTTTTACTCAATTTTTAAAGTATTCTTTTGTTTATGGTGTCGCAACTTTTAGAAATCTTTTTAAATGCCGGGCCCGTAGGAGATGTCTCTGAATTCATTATGATGGAAGCTTTAGAGTGTTCTTAGTACTTCCTATATTTAGACTCAAGGAAATATGCTCATTATCACCCTATTCAAGGCTTTAATTGTTTTATATCCTTCAAATATAGACATACTCAGCCTCTGTCTTTCCAAACTGAGCCCTAATCTTTCTAACATAAACCCCTTCCCAGCAGGGGGAGCATAAATGAACAAAATCCAATAAGATGCTTAGCAAGGCTGTTGATTGCGACATGTAAGTAGCATAATGTGTTTTGAGGGGCATTTGAAAACTAAGGAAGGGCTGTTTTTAAAATGAGCAAAATTAACACACAAGAACATAACACACAGGAAAAATATTATAACCCATTTATGAATTTCAAATATTTTAATATACATCACAGAATGTTCAGAAGGACAGGACAATCTTATTCTACTCGAAAGGTAACTGTTAACTCATTCAACACCAAATAGCACTGCCTAGTTTAGTGGGTTTAGGTTTATTTTGGGTTTTACTTTTTAAAAATTGGAAATATCCTTTTAAAGGCTGTACATTTATAATCTATAATTTACATAGTCATTTGCAGTTAACTTTTATATTTTTATAATATTCATTCACCTAAAAAAATTAGTTGATAGTGAATTGTACAGCTTTTGAGCCTATAATCATTTCCTTTTCGTGTTTCGAATTTCATAAAATGCTTTCAGGCTCTTGGAAAAAAGTAAATCAACTACTCTTTAAGGAGAAATCTTGCCCCTAAGACATATTTCTTTTTAAAATTTGTCCTGCATTCCATAAAAACAATATAGTTGAAGAAATAAAGTAAGCCTAAAGTGTGCCCATGAGACTTTAATGACTTTGAGGGTTTCAGTGACCTCATTGAATCACTTTCTAAAGCGTCATTCTCAGAGTCGATCAAGTTACTCAAAGCCTCAGTACAATTACAGCTTTATTCTGCAGGTCAGAATCCATAATTCCTTAGGTTTTCCTTTAGCTATCACTGCTGTCAGATAGGAAATTTCACATTTTGAAAGGATCGTAATCTTGCTTCTGTCCCCAGTCTTTTCAACATTTATTTGAATGGCAATGTACCCAATAATTTTAAGCAGTGGACTCAGCAAAGGGTAAAATATATAAAGAAGCAAACTTACCATCAAACACGTTACTATAATAATAAAGATGCTGAGAAATATGACAACAGCATAAAATCCTTCTTTGCTCCAGATTTTGTCCGCTTCATGCTGCCCTTGTAAAACATTTTTCTTTAAAAGCAAAACAGAAAGTCCGACGTTAAATGAGAGCTTGAAGAGACTGGCGTTCTTATCAGACACTAAACATATTTTTAGCTTTATTCCATTCAGTGTAGTAGAACACACCTACATTCCTCGCTGTGAGAGCTGCTTCTCACACTGATCTAAGACAAGGGGCTGCTGCCCTTACACATAAAAAGATTTTTTTTCTCCTATACAGGATCAAAAGCATTCAACATGGCATATAGAGTCCGAGGCTTTGTAAATGTCCCTCACAGTCTCTCTTGGAAATTACCTGGTCCCTAGGTAAGAGAGTTCTGTTTTTTTTCTGTGTCAAGGAAATTGTTTTCGATGCTTTCCTTACTCCATTTGAAGTCCCCTCCCACCACAACACCCTGCTTTTCGTGCTGTAATACTGCTCTTAACTTTTAAACAGAAGTGAAACAGGTGCAAACAAAATTTCATGATGCATTAATAAATGGAGCAACAATGTCGGGATCATTTCCTTCTCTTTTCTCCTCTTTTATCAAATCTTTTTTTTTTTTTAAAAAAAATATATAGTCCTCTTTGTCAAAATCTGATTCAAGTACCACCTTGATAAATTGTTAGGATATTATATTTTATTTAAGCAAGAGGGAACACCAAAAGGTCCAGAATTATTTACTAATAAAAGGTGAAATAAATAGTTTAATTTTATTTATACTTATTATTTTTTTGCTTACTACTTTGGGGGGGGAGGGTGGAAGGGTGGAGAAGAAGCATGAATAAAATGTGAATGAGTGTCTTAGTTTTATTTTGCCTATTTGTTTAAAAACAACATAGCTAGTAAATCAAGTCTTAGAATGCAATTGGTTTTATTATTCAGTGAAATTTATAGGTTCATACTTAAAGAAACTTTAACTTGAAACTAAATGATCCACAATTAGGAAAATCACATAAAGTCTAAATCAAGTCATATGTTTCTAAATTCCACGTTGGGGAAGGCTGCCTTTTCTCTTTTTTAGTGAGAGAATTTTTCTGTCCTTGGACATTGTCTCTGATAATTAAGAAAGCCTTGAGCAACAAGATAGTGAATAATGAAAAGTCACATGGAGAGAGCCGTTGGAAGATGAGAGGTCATCTTGGACATTTCGGTGGCAAATGAGTTCTCAGCTTAATGTAACCACTGGAGTGACTTCAGCCTGTACTTGTAGAATAGAAGAACAATCTGGCTGATCCTAGTCAACTCACAGAATCACAAGAAATAAATAATTATTATCTCAAAAAAAAAAAAAAGAGAGAGAGAGAAAGAAAGCCTTGAACAAAACATGTCCTCGTGTCTAAACTTGGAAATCATTACTAATTATTTTTCAGGCATTTAAAAAAATAGAATATATTCATCATTTGTAAATTAGACAAAACAAACATTTGCCTTGAGAAACATTTTATGAATCTTTTATCTTGGAACTCGAGTGGGTCCTGGTGCGGAGCTGAGTAAGACAGAACAGAAGGGGTCTGTTAAATGAGTTCTATTGTAATTAGAAACAATTTGAGGGAGCCTATTGCTTTAAGTTGTTGAATTTCCATTTCCTTTGTTTGTTAAACATGAATGTGTTCCCTATAATATCTTGCCTACTTTCTAAAACATAGACAAATTCATAGATATAAAAAAAGCTTTCGAGATATATTTAAAAATACGTAGATGGAAGCAGATGGAGAATCTGAAAATGTTTGATGGAATAATTAGAAACCAAGTATCCTTCTGGAAAGAAAATCTTGGGTTCAAGTGAAAACTTGTCTTTTACTCTTTGACTTCATTCAGATCTATATTATCCCAATGTGTCCATAAACATAACTGGAAACTAATAAAAAAGAAAACTCTTGAAGAAATCAAGTGTAAGTATGGAAATGAGGTTTTTTGCAGGCAATTAAATAGCATTATTGCTTGCTACAAAAGCAAACTAGTTAAGCCTTCAAGTAGGAAGCATAAACTTGTCAAATTTAAGTATGAAGATCTCAGCTTTAGTTAGTGTAAAATTTAGACAAAAAGGGTGGTTTGTTAGGTGGGTGGAAAGAGATTTTGTGTTCCTAACCTGATCAGGTTCATTTCTTTTTTGCCTGCTATAGTTCCATACCTCCTGAATATCAACATGTTCCTTTCTGCTTAAGATGAATCTGTTTTGTTTGTCTCTTAACTAAAGCAATGATGAGGGAAGAATTAACCTCCCACCCACCCCTACTTCCCCCACTCCCAGTTAGAAAGACACATGTTTTGCACTCCCAGAACTTAGTCACTGCACTTTCTTGGTAAATAGATTTCCTTCTGAGTCACGCTATTCTTGCTGAGCACTACTATATTTGTACAGAGATCTAAAAAACTTGATAAGGGCAAAGTAATAAATGGAAAAGTCTGTGGTTAAGATCCCGCAAATCAAAAGATTGTAATTCACAGGACTCTCTGCTCTAACGTTTGCATAAGATTAAAGTGATGCCTTTTATATTTTGTCAGGGGTTGGAGGGTTCAATAGTCTGCGGCTCTGTGGCCGGGTCAAGCCAATGCCACTGTATCATCTTTACAGTTTATTTCCTAGCTGCATAGCTTTGCACTTTAACTTTGTTGCAGTGAAAGAAGTTGTTGGGTTTTGTTTGGTTTTATGATTTAAAATTTAGGCAGTTTCCTGTATCACTGTTTCAGTAACAACGGCTTCTCACAGCAGAGGGAATGCAGTTAGCATTATTATGATGGCTAGGTGGAGGACCAGGGGAGGGAAGGAGCAATTGGGGGGATCATTTTATGAACTATATAGATGTCTAACCAATGTACTGTATACTTGCAACTAATTTAAATAAATAAATGTAAAAAATTAAAAATAACAATGGCTTCTCTATATCCTGTTTAATAATTTGATGCACTACAGTTTGTTTTTTTTTAAAAAAAAATTTTGATTCCAGATGGTGGAAGAGATTCCCAAGTCCTAGGAGAGCTGATACAGAGGTTTTAGAAGATATATCTCTTTAGGCAAAAGAATGAAGTGGAAATATAAATTATCTGGTCAATTGATTGACTCAGGAAGATAATTGGGACGTAGCCCACAACGATATGGTTTTGTTAGATGAATGCCAAACCTCCACTGTATTACGAACGAGGCAAATTATTAGGCCTGAATGATCTGACACATGTTAACACTGTATTCCTGCTCGGCATTGTATGGCTAGCATGATGATTCTTTAGACTGCTGGCTAATGTTCCTAGTTTGAAGGAACAATCACCAAACGCCTGGATTATGGCTTATATTTATTCGATATGGTTTTTTGCTTTGTAAATATTCCATGCAAGTATCATATTGGCCTATTTTTAAAGAAGGTAGCTTCTTCTTTTGAAATATAATAAGAGCCATGAAACTGGAATAATTTGCAATTAAGCAAAAAAAAAAACAAACCCTAAATCATTTTTAAATATGAATGCAGAACTTATTATTTCAATAGATATTTAATTTTATAAAAACACTTAAAAATAAAAACTAAAATAATGATTTAATTTTATTTCCCTGTGATTTGATTTATTTGTCAAGAAGAAGTCTAGTTTTATCTTTATGAACATCTCATAATAAAATAATATTTAAGTGCCTACAATGTTCTAAGTACTGGATAAAAAAAATATTTTAAAAATGTCTTTTTCTCCCAAGAGACTTAGATTTAAAATGAAAACAGATAATAAACAAAAGTAATTCTCTATTTGGTATTGTTCTTTGTTTCCCAAGAGCCATTTTTGATTAAAAAAAAAAATCAAGCAAATGATTTTTGATTAAAAAAAAAAATCAAGCAAATGATTTTTGAATTAAAGAAATGATAACAATAAAAAAAACACACCCTTTCCTGACAGCAATTAATATAAGTTTAGGAATAGGTGCTTTGTCAACAAATATATGAAAAGATGCTCAACATTGCTAGCTATTAGGGAAATGCAAATCAAAACTACAATGAGATACCATCTCACACCTGTTAGAATCGCTATAATAAACAGAACAAGTAATAACAAATGTTGGAGAGGATGCCGAGATAAAGGAGCTGCTGGTGGGACTGCAAGTTGGTACAGCCGCTATGGAAAACAGCATGGAAGTTCCTCAAAAAACTAAGAATTGACCTACCATATGACCCAGCAATCCCTCTACTTGGTATTTACCCCAAAGACTGGAAAACCCATAGCCGCAAAGATATGGGTTTATAGCAGCATTATTCACAGTGGCAAAGACATGGAAGCAACCAAAGTGTCCTACGATAGATGATTGGCTAAAGAAGCTGTGGTATATATATACAATGGAATATTACTCAACCATAAGAAGAGATGAAATACTGCCATTTGCAACAACATGGATGGACCTCGAGATAATCATGCTAAGTGAAATAAGCCAGACAGAAAAAGTTGAAAAATCACATGATATCACTTATATGTGGTATATAAACCTAAAAGCAACAAATGAGCAGGACAAACAGAGACTCATTAACATGTACTATAGACTAGTGGTTACTAGTGGGGTGGGGGAGGAAGGGGGAAGTTAGACGGGGTAAAGGGGATCATATATAGGGGGATAGGGGAGGGTGAAATGGGTAAAGGGAATCAAATATATGGTAGCTGAAGGAAACTGGACTTTGGGTTATAAACACACTATAGAATATACAGATGTCAAATGATAACGTACACCTGAAAATTATATAATTGTATTAACCAATGTTACCCCAATAAACTTAATTTAAAAACAAAAGGAATAGGTGCTTTGAGACATCATTCACTGTGTTCTTTAATCCATGTAAGGGATGAAAAACCAAAACACCAATATTCTTTTTTTTTTTCTGTTAGTAAACATCCTACCATTGCAGAGCCATAATTTTGGGATAAAAATGTGAAAGTGTGTTGAGGCATGTACTGCCATCACATATTAACTACAAAGATGAATAAAGAGGTGGGAAAACTCACAGAATACCATCTCAGTTAGTTAATACAACTATGAACAAATGCTTTTGCAGTGCTCCTTTGGACTGTACATGTCTGAAGCTTCCCACAAGGGCACTTGCACACTGCTGACAGCTTTCTCCTTAGCCTTCTCCTATTTCTGCACTTAGAGCTTCAGGTCAGAGGGTAATTCTGGGCCCCTTCTAGAAGTGCCTGAACAAAAGGCTCTATCAATTCATCCATCCTTGATGAAATGCTCCTTATAGCCAATTAAAATACTGCCTAGTCTCCTGTAATACAATATTTCCTAGAATCTAGGTTTCCTAGATTTCTCAAATCCCACAAATTTATAAGAAATATCACATTTTGACCATCGAATACCCTTTCATTATTGAATTATAGTACAGACTTGTGGTCTGTTGTGGGCTAATAGTTTTGTGATAGGCAGTCAGGCTACACACCTCACTTTCGATGGGCTGAGGTATGTTTGAGGACCCAAATATGTACTTGATTTTAACTAGTTGTTGTTGTTTTTTTTTTTTTGTATGGTGAGCTTCTCTTGGTTCATAGATCTGGATGATTCACTAATCTGCCATGTTCCTAAAGCATTCAGAATGGCATTTAAACTCAGAATAAAGCAATAGGGAGGAATGCTTATATAACTCACTGAAAACTCACAAGAAGCAGAATAAATTAATCCAGTGGTCTTTTTAAATTTTAAAGAATTGTCCTGAGTAAGATGTGTACAAGTCAGTCTGTGTAGGACCTGGACTGTAGGAATGAGATTAAGTGTGATGTACATAAGGAAGCCCCTTCAGAATCACATTCAGGCAGGGCTAGAGAGGGGTCTGGGTGTTTAAGCTAAGTTGACCCATTCCTTTGGCCTCTCTGAAACATGAAGCAACCTCTTGTTCCTCAAAGCTCCCGTGGCACACTATGGTAACATTATCATACCCTTGCATTCTCCTTATCTGCTTGTATCTTATTTGCCCTATTAGAATATAAGCCCATTGAAAGCAATAATTATATTTTTTATTTGTTTATTTCTTTATTTTTCTGACCTTGCATACCACTGAGCACAGTGCTTAGTTATTTGTGTGCCCACTGAATACGAGACACAATTGAAGCCTCCGAGGACACAGATAAAATAACATGACATGTCTCTGCAGGAACCTGCAGAGTAGAGATGGACTCAAAGACTAACATAGGATAAGGGGTTTTTGTACTAAGCTCACCGAGAACAGAAATCGGTGAGCACTCACATCTGTGGTAGCACAAAGGAAAGCTGCTTTGCTATATAGTAGATTGATTTTGAACCATAAAAATGTGTGTAGATGGATTGATGTATGTACAAGTGTGGAGGGAAGAAACAGTACATCGGTGTCGTGGTACTTATTAAGTTTGGAATTGCTGAAGCATAAACTAAGAGAGTATTGTTCAACAATTATAAAGCCCAGCTCATAAAGGACCATATACCATATTAAGAAATCCACACTTGATTCTGTAGCATTTAGGAGGTCAAAGAAGAATCATGACAACAAGAGGGCATGGCCAAATTTACTTTAGCGAGATTACTCTGGTGGCAAGAAAGAAAACATACTATATGTGTGTGTGTGGGCGGGGGGGAGGCGGGTGCAGCGTGTGGTGGAGAGGGCAGAGGGCAGGGAGGAGCATAAAACTAAATGCAGAAAAGCTCGTTGGAGGTTGTTGTTATAGTCACAGTTCAATGATGACACACATTTTCATTCTGCCAATCCACCCTGCATTCAAATATTTGTTCATTGCCTACTCTATATGAGGATTTCCACAAATGTTTTACAAATTAATTCATATTTCAAGTCTATAGGATAAGGACTATACCCATTCTTTTTATTATACCCAAATGAGAGGCCATGTGCTTTACTGAAAAGTGAAATAGACTAGGGATCAAGATGTTTAGATTTTAAATGTTGCTTTATACCTCATGTGCTTTGTTATCTTTAATTTCTATGGACCTTACTTTCTGTATCTATAAAATGTTCACATATGTTCCCTCGAGGTTTAATTCTGTGATTCTATAAATTTAATTACATATGTTTAAGATGATGATTATTTTAGCAAGTTCGTTAGAGTGGGATAGAATAGGAAAAGTAAAAAAGGGACAAAATTCATTCAAAAATGAGAATGGTGGAGTTGTTAGGGGAAATTTAAACAGTGCCAAATTTGGAAAGCACTGTAAAGAAAATAACCATAGTTCTTAAGATTGGATTCTTCAATGAAAAAAAAAAATTTCATATTAATTCTAAGGTTGTGGGAAAAGGTGACTGGTAACTATCTTGTTAATGAAGGCGACAAGGAGGGAAGTACACCTGTTGCAGAAGAAAAATTTGAAGGTGTTTTTTGGACATTTCAGTTTCAAATAACCAATTGACAAATATATATAAATGACTTTTTTTTTTCTTTCCCCCACACGATGTACCAGATATGTCAAAATAAATTACAAGGCCAAAAGATTTGGAGAAGAAAGTGTTAAGAAGTGAAACTTTGATGTGAAAAATGAATTTCCAGAAGGAATGAATATATACGAGGTGAAGATCAGAGAATTCTGACCCTTAGGGAGATTTCTGTTATCAAATAACATACAATAAACAGCATTCACAGCAAAGCTTCTTGAAGTTGGATTACCATGTCATGCTAACTTTTTAGATGCAAAATAGTTAGGTGCAAATTTTTAGATGAAATCTTCCATGCAACAACATACCTCAGGGGAGACTTCTGTAATTCCAAATTGGGATAAACTCTGATGCAAAACATTGATATTAAGTGAACGCAGCACTTCCTCAGATGGCAGAGATTCTGAAATTCCTCCTTTTCGATTTACGGGAGACACAAAGAGTTCAATACTGTTCTTCTTGCTCTAGTAAAAGCAGATGATTTGTATATGTTAATAGACCTTTTTAAAAAAAATTCTGGGAAATATTTTTGACTTTCCTCTAGAAACATTAAAGAAAATCAGAACCCTAGAATCCTAAAAGGCATCTTGGAGATTACGTTTGTTAGTAATTCTCTGGTCCACTTAATATTACCAGCCTCAAATCTTCACATGGCCTTCTTTCAATTAATTGACACCCCAAGATTTATAATTTTATATTTCATTGGATGCTGGTTTATTTTCCATTCCATACTGCAATTTTTGAAATATATCATTTGGATGTTCCCTGAGTAATTGTGCTTGAAGAAGCATTTTCAAATCAAATGAAATAAAACCTGATGCAATAGTACAATTATTAGACATTGCAACTCCATATATTTTTCTTATAACTTATATTGATGTGGAGGCTGGACTAAGGAAGATGATGCTATATGAGCTTTAAAATTCCTTCCCTGATTCTGTTTTTCTTCTCAAATACGTCACACTTTTAAAATCTATCCTTTGGTAGAAATGTGTATGTTGTGTAATAATATCACGATACTTTACCTCATTAGCTGAAATGAAGACAGAAGATCTCCTACCATAAATGGCTGATAGGCCACATACACACAAAAAATAAACACTACATAAAAACGACATTGCCATTGATAGATTCTCTTTTACAACTTATACAATGTACTTGTAGAAGTAGGTTATTGCTCATCTTTTTGATACATGGAATTCTCTCATGCTAGAAAATTTTCTTTTAATGCAGTTTTTCAGTTCAACTACGAATAAAGTAAAGTATCAATATACTACTAGCAATCCAGAAAAAGTGTTTCCATATTTGCAGGAACAACAGACAATGACTAAGTATAGCATAATACTGATGCAAAACATTTTTATAATAATTTAAATAGTTTATGATGTAATAACAACAATAGTAGAAATAAAGGACTAGTTTTGTGCCTGACACACTCTCATCTACCTTAAATCTGTTATCTCATTTAATGCTCAAAACCTCTCCAGTACATCAGCATTATAGTTCCCTCCATTCAGCAAATGAAGAAACATAAGTAGCTTGCCTAAGGTCTCACAGCTGAGACATGGCCACGCTGAAAATGGAGTGAGCTAGACTCCAGCAACAGGAGTGCAGTTCTGTCTGTCTCCAGGGCACATGCTCTTCACCCCTGTGCTCTGCTGCCTCGAGTATCCTCATAACTCTACCAGTTATAATAACTACTCTTAGAAATAGATGTGTACGAATGCTACTAACATTTTCCCAGGATAGGTGTATCCCTCCCTGGATGTGGCAAATCCCTCTTTTATTCCTGCAAAAGGACATCTAAGATATCTGTGTGTGTGTGTGTATAAAACTAGACCTAGAGCTAAGACATCTATAGTACCTAAGTCTTCTCATTTGAGCAAGATCTGCCCTGGATATAAATAATCCATTTCATTCTTTCAGGATATTAGAGAATGCTGTATTTTCTCTTCTATGGTACCAAGTGAAAAACTTTGTTTTTTAAGCTTATTTTGTCCCGAGAAATAGTTGGGTCCTAGAATAAAGTCATTATAAAGAATGAAACAACTCACCCTCCACACAAATAAAAATGCAAAGAAAAAAAAAAACCCTAAACCAAAATGAAAAGCAATTCTTTTCCATAGCAGGAAATGCAGATACTGGTATAGTAGAAAGCTGAGCTCAAGCAGAAGATAAGAATTTAGGGCAAGTAGAACACTGAGTCCTTGCTTGAGTTCCCATTGCAGTGGAAATTAAGAACAATTTTAAAACTGCAAGATGATTCCAAAGTCCCTTTTCACAGGAACCTTAGGTAATTAGCTTTTTACAAAGAAAAAATCATCTGCTTTGAATTTGCCTTTCTCTGCCTTTGCTTACACCCACCTTCAAGTACAGATGGGAAAGCGTAGTTGGATGACATCTAGGTTTCCAAACAACTGAGAAAAGAGGGGAAGAAAGGATGTATGTGATTGATAGATAGGTCTAAAGTGGGCCTTGGACAGAAGATCCTTTGGATTTGCCTCATCCTACCCCACATACCTATCTACGTTTTTCTCTTGGCTTTTCAGAACTATCTATTCTTGCAGTCCATTTGGGCTGCTGTCTCCAAGAATGGAGTCTTTATTTTTTATTCAAAATCCTCTGCCTGTGCATTCAGTATCTTTCATCCTACTGACATACTTGAAGGAGTTTACACAGATATTGTCTAGAGATAGTGCTTTAGCTGATACTGAAGGTTTCACTCTTAGGAAGAATATTTTGGGAGTAGTGTCAGGTTGGTGAGACAAGTATTTTGGGCTCCTCTATTCATACCTACTGGGGTACAAGCTTTGAACTATGAGAGGGCTGACGAATATTTTCTGTAAAGGGCCAGAAAGCAAGTCTTTTAACCATTAATTTAGCCAAATGATCTGTTACAGTGACTCAGCTCCGTCATTGTATCATGAAAGGAGCCACAGACAATATGTAAACAAATGAGTGTGGCTCACTGCAATAAAACTTTCTTTACAAAAACGTAGTGGTATGCCAGATTTAGCTCAGGGGCCATAGAACTATAGCATGGGTGTTCTTTATTACTGATCCTTATTACCGAGCCCTTCGATAAAGATCAAAGCTTATAGCTGGGAGTGTAAAAGGGAGGCATCTTACAATGAGGCGATTGATGTGCACTTGCTGGGGTAAGAGTCCTAAAGCTGCGGCCACTCCTTGGCGGAATATTCGAAGCAAGGTTATGTTCAGCTTGTCAACATCCATTTGCAGTGTCTGGAAAATAAAGAAAAAAGAAATCCAAATTATTTTAAGTCTTTGGTTCAGGATATTCAGTTCCTGACTGATGACTGACCACAATAATTTCTGTGACTTTGATAAATTCACACTCGTGGTAACTTAATGCATTTTTAATGGAGATAACATTATAGGAACATTTTATGTGAAATTTGAACTGGTGTTAGTTAAAAAGATGGTGCATTGTATAATAATGAAATTTGTCTAGTTATAATCAATAATGCATATGAATGATCAATTCATAAAGAATTTCACTGAAATGTGTGTTGGTTTATTTAGCTTTAGTTCAAGTCCAGATGACAGAATTAAATATGTGGCCAAGTGTATTTCACTAATCCAATCTAGAGGACAGCTTTAATTTATGTTCACACACAGTTATGGAGAGAAAGATGTATGAAATTCCATCACGCCAGACTTGGCAGTTTCTCTATACAGTGATCTGCTGCCAGTGTAAGGCAAAAGAACGAAGCGCAATAACGTATTTTCAAACTCTGGTAAAGAAGCCAATGGTACTGATGATTTGCTCTAAGGTTAACAATTTTTATCCAATTGTTTGGCCAAACACTCTTAATTTCCAAGTCGCTCTGGAAAAAGACAATTAGACATTTGAAAATTCCTAAAATACAAATCAAGTTATGAAACTAATAATACAGTCTTAATTCGAGCCATGGGTGCTGTCCCTACATTTAAATCACAAACTATTTAACTATATTTTCAAAAATGCATCATAAACATTGAGATATTGTATAAGATGGGGAAACCAAATCTTTATGCATTTCTTACATATATGTATTTAATAATATTTTATTTTTATTCCCCTTCGCCTATGCCCTTCCCCTAACCTCTGGTAAACACCAATCTGTTCTCTGTATCTTTGAGCTTGGTTATTTTTAGATTTCACATGTAACAAAAATCTTTTGATATTTGTCTTTCTCTGTCTGACTTAATTCACCTAGCATAATGAATGCCCTCAGGGTCTATCCATATTGTAGCAAATGGCAAGATTTCATTCTTTCTGTGACTGAATATTATTCCATTGTATATGTGTATATATATTTCTTTATCCATTTATCCGTCGATGGACACTTAGGTTGTTTCCAAATCTTAGCTATTGTAAGTAGTGCTGCAATGAACATGGGGGTACATGTATCTTTTCGAGTTACAGTTTTCATTTCCTTCAGGTAAATATCAGAAGTGGAATTGCTGGATCACACAATGGTTCTATTTTTAATTTTTTGAGGATCCTCTATACTGTTTTCCATAGTGGCTACATTAATTTACATTCCCACCAACAGTGCTTAAGGGTTCCCTTTTCTCACATCTTTGCCAGAACTTATTATTTCTTGTCTTTTTGATAACAGCCATTCTAACAGCTGTTAGGCAATATCTCACTGTGATTTTGAGTTGCATTTCTCTGGTGATAATGACTTTGAGCATCTTTTCATGTACCTGTTGAGCATATTTATATCTTCTTTGGAAAAATGTCTGTTCATATATTGTGCCCATTTTTAACTTGGATTATTTGGATTTTTATTTTTTATTTTTGGCTGTTGAGTTGTATAAGTTCCTTATATATTTTGGATATTACTCTTTATCAGATACATGATTTGCAAATATTTTCTCCCATTTAGTAGATTGCTTTTTTATTTTGTTCATGATTTCCTTTGCTGTGCAGAGGCTTTTTAGTTTGATGCAGTACCACTTGTTTATTTTCGCTTTTGTTGCTTTAACTTTTGGTGTCACATTCAAAGAAATCATTGCCAAGACCTTTGTCAAAGAGCTTATTACCTATGTTTTCTTCTAGGTGTTTTATGGTTTCAGGTCTTACGTTTAAGTCTTTAATTCTTTTTGAGTTAATTTTTGCATATGGTTTAAGATAGTGGTCCAGTTTCATTCTTTTGCATGTGGCTATCCAGTTTTTCCAACATCATTTATAGAAGAGACTGTCCTTTCCCATTACGTATGCTTGGCTCCTTTGTCATAAACTACTTGAGCAGATATACATGGGTTTATTTCTGGGCTCTCTATTCTGTTCTATTGATCTATGTGTTTGTTTTGGTGCCAAAACTATGCTTATTTAATTACTATAGCATTATAATTGAATTTGAAATCAGGAAGTATGATATCTTCAGCTTTGTTCTTTATCAAGACTTTGGCTATTCAAGGTCTTTTTTGTTTCCATATAAATTTTAGAATTCTTTTTTCTATTTCTGTAAAAAATGCCATTGGAATTTTGATACAGATTGCACTGAATCTGTAGATTGCTTTAGGTAGTTTGGACATTTCAAGAATATTAATTCTTCCAATTCAGGAGCACAGATATCTTTCCACTTATTTGCGTCTTCCTACATTTTTTCCTTAATGTCTTATAGTTTTCAGTTTATAGGTCTTTCATCTCACTTATTAAATTTATTTCTAGATATTTTATTCTTTTTCATGAAATTATAAGTGAGATTGTCTTCTTAATTTCTCTTTCTGATAGTTCATTATTAGTGTGTGGAAATGTAACAGATTTTGTGCATTGATTTTGTATCTGCAATATTATCGAATTCACTTATTAGTTCTAACAGTTGTTTGATGTTGTTTTAGGGTTTTCTATATATAACATCATGCCAAATGAAAATAGGGACAATTTTACTTCTTCTTTTTCAACTTAGATGCTTTTTATTTCTTTTTCTTGCCTGATTACTCTTATTAGGAATTCTAAAACTATGTTGAATAAAAGTAGCAAAAGTGAACATCTTTATCTTGTTCTTGATCTTAGAGGAAGACTTTTCAGCTTTTTACCAGTGAATATAATATTAGCTGTGGGCTTGTCATATAAGGCATTTATTATGTTGAGGCATATTCCCTCTATTGAGTTTTTACCACAAATGGTAAAGATAATCATATATTTCTTGTCCTTAATTTTGTTAATGTGGTGTATAATATTGACTGGTTTGTGGATGTTGAACCATCTTTGCATCCCTGTAATGAATACCACTTGATCGTGGTATATGATCATTTAATGTATTGTTGAATTCAATTTGCTAATAATTTGTTGAGGATTGTCATACCTATGTTCATCAGGGATATTCACCTGTAATTTTCTTTTCTTGTGGTGTTGTCTGGTTTTGTTATCAGGATAATGCTGGCCTTGTAGAATCAGTTTAGAAGAGTTTTCTCCTCTTCTATTTTTTAGAAGAGTTTGAGAGAATTGGTATTAACTCTTCTTTGGATGTTTGGTAGAATTCACCAGTGAAGCCATGTGGTTCTGGACTTTGTTGGGAGGTTTTTGATTACTGATTCAGTCTCCTTACTATTAATTAGTCTGTTCAGATTTTCTGTTTCTTCATAATTCAGTCTTGGTAGGTTGTATGTTTCTAGGAATTTATCCATTTCTTGTAGGTTGTCTAATTTGTTGTCATATAATTATTCATAGTAGTCTCTTATGATCCTTTGTATTTTTGAGGTATTAATTATAATATCTGATCTTCATTTTTGATTTTTTTATAATGCATTTATATATATTTATGCATTTCTTGTATGTTTATAATGCTTAATTTACAAACTTGACCATAGTAGGTTATCAATAACTGTTGGATGGCTGCCTATTCTAGTATAAGAATAGATTAGAGAGCCTTCTTCCAGTTTGCTCTAAAAAGAGAATGATACAGCTTCAAGAATTTTTAGTCTTATTAGGAAATAAATCATCCTCTATCCATAAAGTTGGTACAAAATAAGTGACTGAAAACTGAGCCAAATGTTCAAAGCTACAGAAATTAGAGGGAGTGGGGATGTCAAAAAAGGTATAATGGTTACCAGTCAAAATGGTGGACCCAGTTGAAGCTCTAGACTGTATTTATACCTTAGAATCTTTTAATATTTGCATGGGGGGACGGGGTCATAGGCTTGGCCATGTTAAGATCTGAAAGTGGACTCCTTGCCAAACTCTGAGATCCAGAAGAAGGCACAATCCATTCAAAAACTCTACCTTACAGCCCAACTATAAGGTACAACTTGCTTCTGGGGAGCAGGGAAAAGAAATGTTGGGAATAGGTAGAAAATCAGTAATATTTCTTTTTATTAAATAAAAACTATCTAATGGTACACAATTGTTTGCTATATTATTCTCTGTACTTTTCTATAGTCTAAAAATGTTTCCAATGTATAACAACATAATTTAATACAGAAAAGATGAATTTGGAAATGCAGTAATGAGAAAAACTATTACACTTTTAAGCATGTTTTATGTATTTACTTGGAAAACCCAAGAGATTAGAAAAACTCAGTCTACCTGGTGACTAAGAAACAGAAGCTTCTTTTTATCTAATAGCTGACTTTCAGCTCTGGGAGGTTGTGGAAGTTGCCAGTAGATATGGGATATTTTATTGGAGACTATTTATTCCCTTTCTCTTGCAAGGCGAAGATGGGTTCGCTAGTTCCCATAAACCCTGACGAGGAACCATTGACTTCTGGCTCACCAGTGTTTGCCAGGCAGGGTATAAGCAGGTAGGCACTGTCCCTGATCCCCATGGGCAAAACTTGGAGCCAACGGTCCACGCTGGGAACTGAGAGTCAAGGGGGTTGTGTACACACTTGAGAACTCAATTCCCAGGGCCATGACTAACTTGGGACTTGTAACTGTGGAAACAGTATTCAAGTCTAAGTTTCTCAGAGTGAATGGCAAATGGAAGTGAAATGGAACTCAAGATTAAAAATTATCAAAAAAAGAGGCAACTTTCCAAAAAGGCAAAAGCTGTGCATTTGAAATAGAAATTTTAGACTACTTAACTAAAGTGAACAAGTGAGTCGAAGTAGTTAGTTTAAAACTGCAGTCATCTGGTTTATTGCATCAAAACATTTGAATAATTGGCCTTAACTCTTTGCTTGCCTGTGAAAAGCTGGATTGATTCCACATTGTGTGCACACACGTCTGACTATTCCCCATAAATAGTGATAGTAAACTGTAGTACAAACAGAAAAAAATATATATATAT